TATTACCTCAAAGGAACGCCCCAATCTGCAAGGAACTCGAATCCAAGCAAAGCCCCTTGCTCCACACCTTCAATTTTCCAAACCTTCTTCAACAATTACTTCTCCAAGCTCCAATCCACTCAACAATCGTGCTTCTCCACGATTTTAGGGTTTCTGGGACTCAAGGGGGTGATAAAGAGGCTGGGGAGGAAACATAATGCTCTTTATATAAGGCTCATCCCCGAGAATTAGGGTTTTCTCCACTCAACGCCTACTCGCCGAGTCCATCTCATTGATTCGCCGAGTCGGCTATTTAACACGCGACCAAGTCGCGACTCTACTCGCCGAGTCCATCCATGGACTCGCCGAGTCACTCTTTCCCAAATTACACTTTTAGCCCTTCAACTCTTGCTATTTCGAGATGTTACAATATAGATTTTCATTCAGGGGCCTCAGGAGAAACTTACAAATTCACAGGCGAAACTTTAACCCCTAATTTAGAGTTTGGAACAAGAGAAACGAGGAGTAAGGACTCAGGAGAAACTCGCAAATAGCAGCAACAGCCAACAGTGCAGCACAACAGGCAGTAACAAGTGAACTGGAAAAGAAAGAACAAGATTTGTGATTCCATACCTGATTTTTGGTGAATTGCGCTTAGCGATGGGCGATGGCGAGAGTGAGAGTGTGAGACCAAGCAACTGACGCGAGTGACTCAACAGGCCAACAACGACAACAGGCAGCAGCGATTCAGCGAACGGAATTAGGGAAGAACCGATTTTGATTTCTGGAGTCTGGAGCACTATTTCTTGGAGAATTAGGATTGCTTCATGGAATCTGGATTCGGGAGGGGCCAAAGCCCAAGTTTGAAGATAACAGGCCTGTAATTAGTCTTTTTCAAGTATAATTTCTATTTCTAGCCCAAAAATCAGAGGGCGGGGGGGGGGGGGGACTGCCCCTCCTGGCTCCTTAAATACTTCGCCCTTGTTTGTATATTAAAAAGTGAATTTAATATATTAAACTGTGAATTTTGTGTATTAAGCTATGAATTTATTGTATTAAGCTGTGAATTAACTGTATTTAGCAATGAAATTTTAATGAATTTTGTGTTAAAATATAAATGATTTATGTATGAATGTTTGTATTAATTTTCTTATGAATATATTTAATTTTTGTATTGTATAAATATGTAAAAATTTATTAGTTTTTATAATTATTTTTCATTAACCAACCAATTAGTAAACAAATTGGTTACTAATTATGAATATAATATTTAAGCTGTAAATCCATGATTTTATGTACATATATGATTTGGAAGAAATGATGGTTGTGACAATGACATAAGTGGTTTATGGCGGACGAGGTAGTTGGTGGCGGTGATGATGATAGAGTTTGAGTTTGGCTTCTTTGAATATTCGAATTAGTTTATAATGGATTGTATTAAGTTGTGAATTTATGTATTAAACTTTGAATGGACTGTTTTAAGTTCTGTATTTTATATAAATTTTGTGAGAAAATATAAATGAATGTATGGACGAAATTAATAGATTTTAAATTAATGAATTAATATGTTTATTAAACTGTGAATATGTTATTTCTGAATTATGAATATATCTTATAAATAATAGATATTTTAAAGAGGTCTACAATTTAGATGAAAGAAATTGAATTGGTCAATGAATAATTTTATTTTTTTATTAAAGTTTTTATATTTGACACTAAAAATGAAAATGTATGAGTTTAAAAGCATTATTAGAGAAATTTTAGTTATAACTTTTTTATTAAGCTGTGAATAAAATTAGAAAAATATCGTTGAATTTTTGTTAGTCCGGCGGAGATCCGGTGTCAGTTTGATGGTGGTCCGTCGACGATCCAACGACAATTGGCAACTAATTGCAAATTAGGTAATAAATTTTTTTGCTTAATATAATATTAATGTTTGATTTCTACAAATTGCCTTTAGTGAAAAATTGAAAAAAATGATTTTTAAAGTTCTTAAGTGAAAGAGGGTTTCTTAAAAATATTATGTTTTTTTTTTTCTTTTAGATTATTTTTTATAAATATGTTGATAGTAAATATATATATATTTATTTTTATTAAATTAATTACTAGCATTATTTTATTTAAATATATATTATTATTAAAAAATAATTATTTAGATTATTTTTTCGATAAAATAATTTATTTTTGATTTTTATTTTATTTTTGAAAGATTTTTACAAATAATTATGTGATTGGATTATTTTATATTATGTTATTTATTAAATCAATTATTTTTTCGAGTAAATCACGTATATTTTGATTTTTTTTATTATTTTAGACTATTTTTTAAAGATGTTCCAATTATTTCGTTGGTTGAAATGTGATAGCCTGAAAATTGATTTGTATATTTATGTTTATAAACTTATGGTAAAAAAAAGACTATCATATTTTCTACTAAATAAGTCTTTTGTTCTCAAATTAAACTACTGGTTGAATCAAAAACATAAAAAAAATCATTACTCTTTGGTTGGAATAAATTTGACATTATTTAATCATAATTGTTTTCGTTTACATTATTTAATTATAACCTTTTTATATTTTGTTCATTTATATGAAACCGAATTTCAAAAAACCGAATCATCCGGCGCTTTAACATTTTTTTTTTAACTTTTTGATCGAATACATAGATAATTATCCAGTGCAATTGCTTAATATTGGTTTTTATTTTGAAGTTTTTTTGTTTATATGTTCTTGTTCTTCAGTGACTTATATAAATGGTTATTTTTTTAACTAATGATCTTATACGGGTTTAAAGAAATATTTTCCAAATATTCAAACATTTATAAATTCATATCTTCATATTTGTTCGAAATACATATCGGATTTTATATAGGTTAATCCGAAACTAACTTTTAAAACACTGATCATTCGAATTCAAACTTTTTTTGCAACTTAGAATGTTATTTCAAAAAAAAAAGTGTAAAGGAATATGTTAATCATAAAAATTTATTAAAATTGCTTGAAAATAAGTAAGTTAAAATAACTTAGAAATAAGTAAAAATTATACAAAAATAAAAAATTACAAAAAAAAAATTAAAAAATCTTGAATCGGGTAAGTAAAAATGTTTAAATAATAAGTTGTAAAAAATGAAAAAGTTTAATACGTTAAATATTATAAAAAAAATAATTCTATTAATTCCCATCAAATATTGTTTTGGATGAAAATATACCTCTTATTGAAAGTGAATTTGCTGAAAAGATCCCTCTTAAAACAATTGTGCAAAACAAAAAAACAATTTTAAAGAGCGATACAACAGTATCTACTATTAGTTTTTTTGTTTCACATTTTGATTTCATAATTTTGAACCAATTCTTTTGTCTATATAGGTTTGTTTTGAAATTTTAATCTCAATCCCTTAATTATTATGTTTGTGTTCCACCCTAGAGCAAGTGTCTTTTTGTGCACCTCTAACCGCTAATAACTAATAACATATTTACACAACCATTCATTTATTGAGACCATTATTATATTTCAACCTAAGGTTGTAATCGAATCGAAAATTCAACGAAGCATACGGTAGAAAATTTATTTATATTTGTTTATTTAATAAAAACCAAACATAAATATTTAATTATTGTTTGTTTATTTAAGCAAGCTAACATAATATACTTGTTTTGATTGTTTATTTACATGTTCATTTATTAATCTTTCATGTATTTTAATTATAAGTTCTAATAGTGGTATGCTCATTTATATTTGTCTAAATATATAAAAAGGCGATAAAAATTTTATTTCTAAGTTTTGGTCCTTGTTCGCTATAATAAAAACTACTTTTTTTATTTTTTATTTGTTTGTTATAAGAAAATGTTAAATATATTTTTTATAAATTGCTTTATTTAATTCGATTTGAATACCATCAAGTGAAATAAAAATTGTTGAATTTAACCCTCCTTGCACGACCATCTCAAACCCAGTTTTTTTTTTCGTCCCCAAAATAGAATAAAAAATGAGATAAATTTTTATTTAATACGCTTGAGTGACTTGTACGTTCGCAGGTGTTTTTTTTTTCGTATAAATTCTTGTCATCTCAGATTAAAATCACAGATGAATTAAGTTCACATGCAATTTCATCTTCATCCACCTGTGATTTTGCGTTTTTTTTTTTTTTTTTTTTTTTTTTTACAAAATTGATAGAGTTTGATTACGAAACAACTTTAATATATATAAAGTTTTGCAAAAAATTATCACTTTAATTGTTAGTTCTTTTTGGAAAATTTGTTTAAAACCTATCTAATAAAATAAATTCTCCAACAAAAAAGTTTTAAAAATAAAATCGTCCATAGTGGAGAGAGAGAGAGATGTCTAACAAAATGTTTGAAACATAAAAGAAAAAAAAATGTTTTTATACCCTTGAAAAAGGGAAAATCGCAAATGAACGCAAATCACAAATCACAGATGAGCTTTTGCAAACGTACAAATAAAATCCCAGATGGACCGAATCTATTTATAATTTTGGTAACTATTTTTGTAATTTGATTTTTTAACTATTTTTTATAAAATAATTAATAAATTAGACTATCTTTGTAATTTCTCTATATTTTTCTCTCAAGATAACTAAGAAATATATCTCTTGGTGTAATATTTTTTAAGATTTTTCCCATTTCTCTAATTTGTTTAATACTTGATTTTTGTAAACAAAAATTGAGACTATAACCAAATATTATATATTTATTAAACGTAAAACTTCATATTTTCATCGATATAGGAGTTATAATCTAGTTTCATAAAAGAAACATTTTATTTATCAATTTAATCTATTTTATTTATTTATTGTTTCATATCAAATAAGTATTATTTTTCAAATTTACATTCGATCATCTTTTTTAACCAAAAAAACAAAGGAGTCTAAAGAATGTAACAAATCTTCCCGCCAAAACCCGCTACATGTAAACCCCATTCTCCATCACGTCGAATCACTATCAAGTATCATCAACAACCTCCTACCACCACCACCACCACCAGATTCACAGATTGCTCATCAATGGCGGTGAAACAGCCGGCAATTCTCGCAGCAGCTTCCCTACTAATCATATTCCGTCTCACCTCCGCGCTCCCAACGGAAACCATCACTAACGCTGCGGACACTCTCTCCAATTCCGGCTATGTCGCAATGTCCTTAACTCTAAATCTCGTCTCCGACGTCTTGCTTTCTTACCGTAACTCCGCCACCATCTTCACTCCACCGGACTCCGCCTTCGCTGACTACGGCCAACCATCTCTCGCCACTCTCCAACTCCACTTCTCCCCGTTAGCTTTCTCACTCTCAAGCATCCGTTCCCTCCCATACGGCACCAAAATCCCCACCATGTCCTCCGCCACCTTCCTAACAGTCACTACATCTCAATCCTCCGATCAGGTTTCACTAAACAACGTCAAAATCGTTGGATCTCCGATTTTTGACGATGGATCGTTAATCGTCTTCGCTATCGACAACTTTTTCGATCCAAACTTCACTATTCCAGATCCTCCGGTGCAAAGCGTTAGGCTAGATCATTGTACGGCGTCGTTCGGAGGTTACAGTAATTTCTCGTTCCACGATGGTGCTAATCTGTTGATATCTAGAGGATACTCTGTAATGGCGTCGTTTCTCAATCTACAACTCCTAGGGTTTCTCGGTCAAGCTACACTGACTATTTTTGCTCCTATTGATGAAGTGATGGTTGATTATTCCGGTCGGTTTCCTGATTATCCATCTCTGTTTCTCCGACATGTTTTGCCTTGTAAGATTTCGTGGAGAGATCTCATTAGCGTCGATGATGGAACAAGTTTGGATACCTATTTGGACGGATTCAAAATCACAATTCATAGATCTGGAGGTACGTTTAAGGTGAACGAAGCTTCAATTACTTTCCCGGACATGTACTACGGTGATTCATTTGTGGTTCATGGAATTCGCGAGGTTCTTGCTCTACCAAAGCCAGCAGAGGAATCGGGTGATGGCGACGGATTTGATGATATTCCTGTTGGTACTGTACTGGTTGCTACTGTTCCAGATCGATCTGAGTTTTAATGGAATCAGCTTGTTGAGTAATTGATTCAGGTAACACTTGTAGATTCATTTTATTTGATCGTGATCTTGTTTTAAGAATTTCACTTTGCATTGTTGTACGACTGCAATTTGTCTTCCAATAACAAAAACTGAGAAATCCACTTGTGATCTTGTTTCTTTCGTTTTTCTGGAAATCATGGAAATTAATGCAAAACTTTGTATGATCCTACTAAAATCTGATGAATCCATGGCCATTTGTTATAAAGAACGAATGGGATTTGTGAGAATCAATTCGTTAAACCCCCGATATTTGAATCTCAATAATCACCATTCGTTAAACCCTCGCTAGGAATGTAGTGGTCAATAATGAATTTGTGATTTATGGTTAGGGGAAATATTAAATTTTAAATTTTAAAATAAAATACTAAATACTAAATAAAATTAATAAAAAGGAAAGAATTAAAACAAAAGTAACCGTAACGGCTGTGGAATACAAAACAAGAATCATTCCGGAAAAAATATGATTGTATTTATTATTATTATTATTATTTTTTAAGAATTCAAATTTCAAATGGATCTAAAGGATAATATATGGACATTTTGTATATCATTATTTTAGACAACAAAAATAATCAAATCCTTATTTAATTTATTTTCTTTTTGCAAAAAACAAAAATATCTTAGGAGAAACGTTTTTGAAAATGCATATTCTTAACAGATTTCGATTTCATTCTTGGAATACATTATTGATATAATTACATCAAAACAATGAAAAATTTATTAATTTCTTACAATTTGAAAAAAAAAAATTCATTATATTCTTGAAATGATAACAATATTATTATTATGCAAAGAATAAAACTAGAACTAAAATCTAACCAATTTTAGAACAATATTATTCAACATTCTTGAAAGAATGACCTCTGCTAACATATACTTAGGCTGTGGGGTGTTGTAACACCCTTACCAGCAGTAATCCTCCGTGACACCTTTTACTGACGGTGAACACCGCAAGGTTCCCTCATTTTTACTGGCGGTGGAAGTTCACCGGTGGCAAAAATCACATTTTTGTGGGTTTTACCGGTGGCAAAAATCAGAAAACAGAAAACAGAAAACACCTAATCATAATTTTATAGCAATCAAATATACATGCATAACTGTCAAGTATGTGAATAATAATCAACTAATTAACTGCTTCGTACACATGCATAAGAATTATCTAATTCTTTAAGAATGTGTTAATTGTTAATTTCAAACACATCTATTTCTTTAAGAATATGTTAACAACAAAACATATACATTATTCAAAACCTAATTCTTTAGAAACTTTTAACTATCAATTTAACGACACCAAGTTCAAACTATGAAAGGATATAAACATCACATTCTTTCTAATTATCCCTTAAATCAACAACATTCTTGTGCTTCCTAGAACATATACAACAACCATGAGAAATTAGTAACCGAAAATAAAGTGAAAACAATAATAACAAATAGTGAAAACAAGATGGAAATACAAACCTGTTGGTTATTCACTCTACAAGACTTGGAACGCAAAATAAATTCTTTAATTGTAGGAGTTATTGAATCATGGAAGAATTGAGTACAGTCTAGTGATTTTTGTGATTTAGTATCTTCGATTTCCATTCTCCAATTTTGATTTTCTGAAACTTACACTGTTATTGACTTCACCCACTTGCGTGCCCTTCAACTATTCACAACCGACTACCTCACTCCCCGTGGTCAAGGAGCCAAAGGGCTCCTAGTCCTGCGGTATCCAGTGTTGTCCTCATCTCGTTAGGAACAAGGTGAGTCAGGAGTAGTTAATAGATTTGCCATTCCCAAAAAATAAAAAACTTAAATTAGTTTATATTAACCTACCTTTATACCCCTATCTAGATTTATTTCATTTTTGAAATAATTGGACCAACTTGAGTAACACGTTAACACAATAATTATGAATCACATATCTCTCTCTCTCTCTCTCTCTCTCTATATATATATATATATATATAATATATATATATATATATATATATATATATGTGCGTTCCATCCTCTTTAACGAACATGCAAACAGCACCCACACCTAGGGGTGTGAGAGGAAACCAAAACCGAATAATCGAACCAAACCGAATGATGTTTGGTTCATTTGGTTTTGTTAACTAAAAACATATAGCATTATTCAGTTTGGTTTTGGTTAAATTTTTATTAATATGGTTAAACCGAATAAACCAAACAATTTTTAAAGTAATATATTGTTAAAAATACAGGTTTTGATTACTTGGAATATTGAAAGTTGTAATTTTACTTTCATATTAAAGTATTTTGATTTTACAGTCGAAATCTTTAACCGTATAAAACTCAATAGAATTCAAGAGCATAGAATTAAGATAAATTATGATCATGTATGTCCATAAAAAATGACCAAAATATAGGTATAATAACTCCTTATCTAAAACCCAAAACTGTCACAAAACAGTTTTATAACTATCACAAAACTCTCATAAAACTGCAACTAAACCAGGTTTATTATTAGGGTAAAAAACTGGGCTATTTTTTGATCCCAACCAGGGGCTCAGCTCCTTAGACCCCGCTACCAGGTAGGTTGAACCTGAACCTCGTGGTCTAGGGACTTCGCCCCTAAGTAACAGTGTACTTTAAATCAAAAGACAAATTCAAACAAGTGTGCACTCCGCACCGTTCTTGTTCAATATTTTTCAAGATCACATTGGTTAACAAGTTAAGGGTCATTTGATATAAGTTCTAACTAGGTCCAAAGAGGGATTGGGTCCAACAAAATCCAATTGGAATGTTTCATAAGGATTTGAAAGTCAAAGACTCGGTCCAAAATGTGGACTCAGTCCAAGGTTTTCATCAGATTCAGTCCCCCCTTTTCTATTGATAGACCAGGATCTTTGTTCCTAAAACCAGTAGAATGGTCGATTCCTTCTACAACCTTTCCTTCCACATAACACATCACTGACGACACCTTTGGGGCCTCCACCAGCGAGGACCTCCACATCAGTGCAGGTAAACCGATTTTTTTTTTTCGATTTTCCCCTGTTAGTGATTAATTGAACTATTCTAGTGTTGTGAATATCAATTGAAAAGAGTATGTGAGTCTTATGTCTAATGATGCTTCTTCTTTATGGACCCAATACTCCAACAACAGTGATTTTCTTAACCTCTGCTTTTTTTAACTATTGAGAAAATTTGTTGTTTTTCACATGTTTATTGATTGTTGTTGCTGCTAGTCATTGCGTTATATATATATATATATATATATATATATATATATATATATATATATATATATATATATATAATCTGTGTTTGTTGATGCTGCTATTGTATGTTATAAATTTGAACTTCTTATGTTAGACTTGAAAATAAGGTTATTTTGGGTCAATTTTATATAAAACCAAGAATCATAGGAAACTTTAAAACAAATTAACCACCCTCTCGTTTGATGTTTAGATCATCATTTCGTGTACAAATCTTTAAAAACAAAATTCAGATTTCAAAGAGCGATATGAATAAGGATTATTTCCAATGGATTTGTGTTTAATTATTGGTGGTGTAATTTTGTTAATTTTCTTAATTTCTCAAATGGGGATTGATGTTATAGGAGTGGAGTTTGACGTTTAGATCATCATTTCGTGTACACACCCTCCCTCGCTTAAGATTCTAAAGCACCTAATTGAATCGGTCTACACTATGAGTCTGAACACCGACCTTTGTATTCAGTTCACTCATAGCATGACTCTGATACAAACTTGTAACGCTGTGATTTTTCACCTAAATATTTTTTATTATTTAAAATCATCATTTAACAAATTAGAGCCAAGAAAGTCTGAATGAATTCATTAGAAAACACCACCAACGATACTTAAAATAAAATATTTCAAAACCAAATTATCAAAATTATAGTTTATAAAACTGATACCAAAATAAGTACCAAAAACCAAGTGTAAAAGAAATATCAACGGCAAGTCTCAAACTAGTATAATCACTAAGGTAATGTTATAACTTACTACCTAAAAGAGTCCCAACCTCACTAGACCATCGAATCATGCTACATGTACCAATGCAAATAATAAGCAACAAACAAATAAACAAGTATCAACATCAGCCCAGTGAGACAATCAGAAGCACAAAGGTAGGAAAACAAGCATACTTCATACAATATGTTTAGTCATGCAATTGATTCATACCAAATGACATACATCACTTATTATTATCAATATATAATGTATATATTAAAATTGACAGTTTTCATCGTAGTAATTATTAAATGTTTTTATTCGCAATAATTACTTATAATGTTCCTCTCTATCTAGGGTCCACAACATTACTAATCCCTACTAACGTGACTTGACGACCCAATGCACTAAGTAGGGTATGACTCCCACCAGTATCACTAACTCTAGTTCTCCGTTTTCACTACTCTGACTTTGCATATATGAGTACGACGCATTGTCGTTCGAGAGTGGTGTGATTGGTATTTCCACACACATACCCCCACCTAAACGTGATGCTTGATCTGGCATCTCTGAGTAGCCAACATCACTCTGCTACTTGTACACCGTTATGCACTGGTACCATGTTTCGAAATGGTTATCTAGAAAACAAATCGACATTGAATTGACATAATCTCTTTCTCCAACAATATATTTCCACCGCAATATCCAAAAAGGGCATGCATCTAAGTTTATGTTACTACCCTTTTACCCTCATGTAATCCCCCATTTTTTGTTTTAGGTTTAAAATCAATAATTATTGGAGAAATTGATTTATGGAGTTAAGAGATATAAATTTGGGTTCAAAGAAATAATAATATGATGTTAAGAAAGTCATACTGATTATTACAAAGAGAATTTCAGGGGTTTAAAAGTCAAATAATACAAGAAGAAACACTAAAATGTCGAAATCAAGTACGGAGGCTTAATTAAAATTTTGTGCTATAAGACAAAGGGGATAAATGGAATATATTTAAGTTGCATAGTGCGGCCAAGGGA